TGTGTGTACAGCTCCGAAGTGACAACTGCCTCGGAGCAACGATCACATCGGACGTAATGACCGGGAGGAGACACCTCGCATTCATTCAGAAGATGGTCTGTCATCCCTGCAATCTCCACAACCTGGAAAGCAAAAGAATGCAGAGCATCGCGCAAGGTCGGAGTGAGTGGGGTAAGAAATTCAATAGCAGTAAGATGCGAAGACATTGGATCAGGAGCATAAGATCAATGAAATCACCACATTCTTTGGACATGGTCGGACACTTTTATTCGCAGGCGATATCAAGCTAGTCTATAAGCTTCGGTGTGACAAACTTCACAAAATGCTACTGCTCATTCAAGATGATTTACATTCCCTCGAAACATGGCGCAACTCGTGGATGATGAACCTTTCGGCTAAAAAGTCATGCACCATGTCATACGGTTGTGCCATCCCCGAAGGATCTACTGCACTGAAAAGAATAAACATGTCATTATGCAGCTGTCCAGGAGTGATCTCGGAATCAGGTAGTTATCTGCCTTCAACTACTCCGGACAGACACAGTACGAAGTAGTACGTGCCGGACAATTTGCGTTTAATATATCCAACAAAATCCACACAATATATAAGTAAGTTGGGTTGTTAAGTTACTCATCCGCCCCATATTCGATTACTGTAACAATATAAGGAATAGGGAATTCTTTTAGAACACCTGCACAGATGGTTTACCAAACATCTGATTGGTTAGCACTTTGCCATGAATTACTGAAAGCGTTGCAACAAACTTGAACTCGAACGACTTTCGATGCGACGATGAAAGCATACTTTGTCACTGCTTTACAACCTGCTAGAGAAGAAAACCTATTCCGATCTGCCTACACTGGAACTACAATGCAGCTACGAAACTAAGGTTATCCACTGATTATACCAAAGGCCAGAACAAGAATTCGCTTAAATATCTTCCTGGTCAGATTTACTTACCTGTGAAATGAACTGCCAATCATACTCAGGTCACGTGACAATGTGGCAAAATTTAGTAACAAGCTCTGAAACTGCTTCGAGTTGAATACCATGAGGCTTATATTCACATGAGAAAAATCCCAAATCAGCAAAAATGTCTAAATGTCGACGTTTCCAAACCTTGGCTTTCGCTTCAATTAATCACAAAAACGATAATGCATAAAACGCATACCCCAAAACTCCACCTGTGAATATCACTCATACAAGAGTATGGTTAGTTTTGTACATGTTAGTCTGTGTGGCCACAGACAGTTTCGTAAACCATGAGAAATGTACGTGCTATTTATTATTAATATCTGCCGCCAGACTGGAGCCCGAAAGAGAACCCGAGGCTATCGGTGTGGTCAATTGGTCAGTTTGTTGAAATTCTAAAAGCAGTAAGGAATATCCGAAAGATTAGATAATGGAAGAGGCATGTAATTTCCTACAGCCGTGCTGCAGTACAGTGCGGAACAGGTTTGTTAATACCTTATTGACTGGATTGGCGCTTAAGAACAAACCGTGACATCTAAGTTGCAGTGAATCTGCGAGAGAATAAGGAGAGCGATGGGGTTGGAAAATAGATGGCAGTGAGGAGTAGAACATCAGTCCGCTATTAGATCTGAACAATGGTGAACAGCGTAAGTCAGACGAGGTCACTCAGAAGAGTCGCGTTATCTGATAGGATCTACTAGGATCTACTGCAAGTAGAAAAAAAAACGACGTATGAAGAGTAAGGTTGATAATCAAATCATTCAAGGACTAAACACGTTGACCACGTGCGAGGATGAGTGAGTACTCTGCAGATTTGTGTTCAACCGATGGTATGTGCTATAAGCGAGAAAAGCAACTTTAGATTTCCAAATTATGCGCCAGTGCCGCTAGATAACGGTTATCGGATTCTAACTCAAGTCCATGGGGTCCCAGTTGGAGGATAAACTAGATCGACAATATAGATGTAGTAAGAAATACAAATATCCAAGAAAACTGGGAGCAACGTCCTAGGCCAGGTTTTTAACTGTAGATACGCAAAGAGATTGTGTAACCCTGTTAGAGGTTTTGGTATTAATAGGTGGTACACTACACGACACAACGGGCTTTTTGAATTATCACAGCTCTCGATTCACAGGTAACGTGTAGATGCATGACAGCAATGGAGGCCAAACAGCAATGTGCAACAGAGGCTAACCAGGGCTGGGAATGATGCGAAGAGGTGCAAGAAGGAATTATGAAGCAAGCGCTGTCTTCGCCACTGAGAACCATTTAGAATCTAAACAGATGGAACATACGGTTAATGCAGTCCGTGAGGCGCTTATAAGTCGGAAACAGTCATCATCATTACCATAAGAAGCAGTACATCAGCCATCTGGACTGATGATGCTTCGTTGCCGTACAACTCGGGTGACCTACGCAGCGAAAAATAATAAGAGGGAGAGAAGACGGGCCTAGCATAACACCTTGGTCTCTTAAACAAAGACTCAGGGTCAAGATGCCTAAACCTTGTGTTAACAACATACCGTCCCAAACACCTGGCCATCGTGTAAAGCGTGTAAGGCGGCGTCAGCGAGAGCTTGATTGCAGCTTTCACTGCACGCGTCATAATCAGCCATTAACTTACAGATAACAGCACCAAACACACTTTAAACGGGCAGTCCTACTAGGAACCGGCAGCAGACGTGGCAATGTTGTCGACTGCGAGCCTTGTCCTGTAATATCTCGAGCCAAGCACAAAACGGGTCACGTAGACTCCAGCCTGCAAAGCAAGAGGCACCAACAGCAAGTTTTGTAGTCAGTGCCTTCATTTCCTGCTGCCAAGTTAACCTTTCCCTACCTCGTGTTTTGCGCCACTCTACATCAGGCAAACAAAAGGTCTTACCTGAGCAAGCGGTAACCGGACATGCGTAGTACATGCCCAAACCAACGCAACTTATTCAGTGCTAGCTGTTGTTCAAAGGACCTGCCATAATTATCACTGCCTAGCACTTGCTTACACGCATCATGCGGCACAGTAACTGAGGTGTTTTGCACCTCTAGCTAAGGTGTCTAATGATGACGCCTACAGACAATCGTTGCGGACACGTTGATGCCATCCGACACCAGCAAGGATGGTCAAAGACTTGAAGACGCTTCAGTTCCTCAATCCAATAGAGTAGAACGACCCGCGCTATTAACCTTGTAAACACGGCCTTTCAGATCGAGGGAAACTCTTTTCTGACACCAAGGATGTCGCAGATGCAAAAAGACAGTTCCAGCTTTTGCAATGCATGTGACTTTAGTCGTTTGCTATGCAGCTGCCAAGTTAGGTGGAGTAATCAACTACTTCGAGTTCCTCGCCACCAAGGGTCAAGGAGGCATCAAATGGCTAGTGGTCCTGCAACAACACTTTGTACGTTGAAGGTGCGAAGCGTATACCAAATAATGGAATCACTCTATACAGATCAGGGTTGATTGCACCGCCCCAACATCGTTAAACTGCACGATAATATCGTTCGCATAATCAAGATCAACTAGCCTTCCACCAGGCATCACCTCAATGCCTTTATCTTGAAATTCCACAACGGAACACTCCATGGTGGAGTCTACGAAGAAGTTGAACAAAAATGGGGAAATTAGACAACCCTGACGAACGCCACTTGTTATCGGGAAGATATCTGATACGTCACAGAGACTCTGACGGTGTCTGTGGTATTCGATTATAGAGCACGTAAAACGTTCATTTTTCCGTGCAAGTGTTTCGAACAAGATGCATCGATCGACTGAGTCGAACGCACTCTTGAAGTCCAAGTACACAGCTATTGTCAATCTTTAGTATGAGTGGCGCTGCTCTAGCACCTGCCGCAAAGTAAATATGTGGCCTATACAGTTCCCTTCTGGGCGTAAACCTGCCTGATCTTCCCTAATCCGTGATTCCCATTCTGCAGTTCGGCTACGAACGAGAATTGATGCCGGTAATTTGGCACTTGAACTGTTCGCTGAGCTTGGCAATTTTGTTGCAAATGGTCCGTCACCAATCTAGGTGACATCATCGGTGTGTAGTTGAGTGGAGTGCAGTAGCGTAGGCACTCTCACCGCACGCCAGTCAACTACGCACCTCGACTGGTGAAGAAACGTTTGCAACAAAATTGCCAAGCTCAGCGAACAGTTCAACTGCCACCTGAACAACGTGAGCTATCAGCTTTCAATTCTATAGCCGGTAATTTGTCGGCATTGGCGTTAGGCTAGCACCACTATGATGAGCATAGGCGGTGCGACTGCCTTTCTTGTATATCGCCACCAAAATCGATTCCAGTTAGCTGGGATGGTCTCTTCCTTCCAGACCTGTTCGCACAGGAGCTGAGTGCTTTGCAGATGGCCCAATCATCATTCTTAAATAGTGCGTGTGCGAGTGAATCCGGGCCAGCAGCCCAGAAACGATTAAAGGCTGTGATCATGTTTCGAACCTTAGCCTCTGATGGATCCTCTAAACTAAACGTGTTTCGGGAAGTGTCCAACGAATACGCACATCTTCAGCTGTCCATGGTACATTTCTTCGCAAACCTCGAACAGCATACTATAATGAAAACCCAATCCTTGTAAGAAAGTAAATAGTTATGAGACCTGCAAGGAGTCTCGAATGAGTCCGAAAAATAACCAATGAGACGATTGTAGAAATAAGAGCAGAAAGAAAATAAAAAGCCACTAAACAATTGGACAATTTCAGGACAGTTGTATTAAGTCTGAAACAATCGTGCAGTATTGGATTCAGTAAATTGCCATTTGTGAAGAGAGATACTAAAACTATCCGGACGCCACATCAGTGAAAGTATGCTATTTTTACCAACCTAGAAATGCAGTCGCAGGGCAAAGAGATCCCTTCAAGTCTAGATCTCGAGGTGACTAACCCTGTAACCGTGAACGAACGAGGAATGGGACGGAATGTTAAGTTGAAGAGATGAATAGTGCTCCGTCACAGCCGGAAGCACACAAAACAGTAGGGAAAATTTAAATTAGTAGAAAATGAGGAAGAATCACACATCACTAACCTGTTTGCAATCGCAGCATCGTTGCAACATGGGACAATCTTTCCAATAGTGCAGATCCAAACCTTCCTCAGTGAATGCATCATTTTTCTCCCCGCAGAAGATACACGTCCTCTCCAAACTCAACAAAAGTTCCGCTTCGCCGATCAATTGTGTTGATTGTGGTGGCAAAGGCGAGAAGCGGTCGCGTGCATGTGATTCTCGGGTGTTCGAATCTCCTTTCGGATCAACAGGAAGATCTGGTTTCGAAGGAGCATCAGAGGATCGTAGTTGGCGTGAAGGATGAACAGGTGGTTGCACAGGCCCTGAATTGCTCTTAGAATGTTGTGGATCCGTACGTCGTGTCTGCCCGTTCTCTAATTGGCATCGGAGGTGCTGGACTTCAGCCTACACAGTGAAGTGGATGGTCGATCAGATAGACGGATATGATTGACAAAAGCATAACTGCGGTGATGTGACCTACACAAACCAGTAGTGACAGCAGAGAATAAGAGCAAAGAAATGCTTTTCCATAAGCAAAACCGCGTCACAACAGCGTGCACCTGCAATGCAATAAAGTGACAATGCGCAAAAACGTTGTCAGGCGTGCTCAGGATGGTGAAAAAAGAATACAGGAAATGGTTCTTACTTTAATCCACAACGCAGCTCTTTTGAGCGTCAATCCAAAAGAGCATCACAAGCCGACTCACCCTTTTCACTGGAATTCATCGATTCGAGATACTTGCATAAAAATGCACGCGCAAAGCATGTTTTAATAATGAAAGCCGTAAAACTGTACGCTGTACGCCGTAACGGGGCTTTGCTGCCGCGTGACCACCAGTCGCGCGCGGGCTGAGTATACCGCGAGGACACCTAGCCCTACACGGATTCGAACCGGTGACCTTATGGTCGCAAACCAAACGCACAGACCACTCGGCCACCGGCCGTAAAACACTGCGCAGAAAGGAGTTCTTCTGGTGGTTGACGATCAAAGTGGGCGTAGACTAGCGTCAGTATCTCAAGGACTGTGACATACGCGAGGACTAAACCGCCTGAACACATGAGTTCCGGTGTCAAAATAGCGTATCGGTGGCCTTCACCATGGCAGAAACTCAAAAGTGGGGAAAAGTATAAGATATGGGGAGGAGTCACCCTCTACGTAAGTGCTAGCGAGCATTAATCGATGAGTATGCAAATAAATGGATGGGGCTTAAAGCAGACAGGCAAAAACACAAGTATGCACAAAACTGATTTTCGGTTTTTGGAGCACTCGCCGTGTGTCTTGGATTGTGACGCGAAATCTAAGTTGTGGCCTAGGTTGACTTAGAAGTCAGCCTCTGTTAATACGGTCACCGGGACCGTCATCGAAGTGGAGGGTTTCGGTGTGGCTCTCTCCCATCCCTGCACTCCACGAGCGACGGTTTCATCTTTGTTTAAACTCATCAGGCAGAGATAGTCGAGCTGGGAGCGGAACTAGGCGCATAGTGCATGGTGGCTATCGCCATGATCAGTAGGCCATTGAGCTCCGCGAGCAGTGTTTGACACAGCGTTAGAAGTAGATTTTCGGGTTTTAGAGCACCCGCCGTGTGTCTTGGATTGCGACGTGCAATCGCACTCTTGGCGTCGGTTGACTTTGAAGTCAGCCTCTGCCAGTACGCTCACTGGGACCGTCACCGAAGTGGAGGGTTTCGGTGTGGCTCTCTCCCATCCCTGCACTCCAAGCTCGACGGTTTCGTCTTTGTTTAGACTTATCAGGTAGAGATAGCCGAGTTGGAAGTGGAACTCGGCGCACAGTACTTGGCGGCTATCGCTATGATCACCTGGCCATTGAGCTCCGCGAGTAGCGCCTGTTAACACGGTTAGAAATTGTTTTCGGGTTTTAGATTACGCTACGCCGCAACGCTTGGCGTTGCTAGCAGATCATTACTGGCGTAGTTATCAAATTGTCGGCCGTGAACCACTAGACCCCTCATTTCGAAGCTGGCCTCAGTTGGAGCGTCTCGGCTCCCTGGTTGGGATCCGAAAGACGATGAACACGTTTGGCTGGATACACTTGTTGATATGGCTAAGAGCCGACCTCAGTGGCGTTCGTGCTGTGAGTTCCTTTCTCCCACCCCATCCCTCTTAGCCTCCCTTTCAACCACGATCTCCTTATTGAGCATTTTATAATTTGCATAGTAAATTACTTTTTTCTGCTGCATGGTAGCCGGCAGGTAGTTTACCGGAACGATGCCCCTCCGTTATCAGTAGCTCAGCTGGCTTGAATCTGTTGCATTTTATTCTTTTTTTTCTTTTAGGTATTGCGGCACAGTAGCTGAGGTGTTTTCCACCTCTAGCTAACGTTTATAGTGTGTGTCCTGCTATCTCCATCTGGTGAGTCCAAACCAGGACGAAACTGGTCATGGTGTGTCAATGTTGGGAAGGGCAACACCGAAACACCATTTGGGATACGGTCCTTGTGATCGGAATGACCGAGCTCTACTTCAGTGAACCGAGGTCTGAATGGAGAATGTGCGTCGCAAGCTAACCACACGGCGGGTACTCCAAATTCAAGTTTGAAGCATGCGAACCGTTAGGATAAGGGCTTTTCCTCTTTTTGTCGCTTTGGTGGCATATTTGGTGAATATCGCGTTGCAAATTGCATGAAAGGAAAGCAGCTAATTGCACCAAGTACCGTATCAACTACGCACAACATAGTACGAGGTTCCGTTGAAAGTTTAACATGCGGTTAGGTTGACGTACAGCTGGTGTATTGGTATGAGAATGCTTAGTGGATGGTAGGAATATTTTCGAGTTGTGGTTTAATACTGCCTTGGTGGCCTGTTGATTTGAGAATTTTTAGTGATACTGTACCGAATACGCATTTATACTGCAAAATAAATATCAGAACAGGGGTAACGTGCTCCAATTCCTCAACTACTTCCATACTGAGTGTGCTAAGTCCCCATCAAGGGAGGTGAAGTTGTGCAACGGCAGACCAGACTCTGGTTTTGTGCGGTCTGTACGTCCAACCCACTAACTAAAATCGTGCTTGACTATCGCAGAAGTACGAAACACCAGTAGGGACGATGGTCCAAACGGTGAAAAGCGGAATTGCTCTACTGAGAAAAAGTATAACAGAGTCGGCTCCAGCCTTTCCCAATAGACCCGGCCTCAGATATAACGAAGGGGCTGGGCAACCTGTTGTGATAGCCTCACCTGAAGCTTTGAAGGTCCATCAGCGTGTCAATACCAGCAGTTTCCAAGATAGGCCGGTACCAATCACCTCCAGCCCCACTGGAATAATTACGACCCGGACCTTGTCCACCCTCCAAATCGTTCCGATATCTCAAAAGTATGCTGACACGAGTGGCGATCGGAACATGGTTTCAGCCAAAGGTGCCATAAACTTTAGGCCCCAGTGCTCCCATCGGATCCAAAACAAATGAATGAAGTGAACCTGAACGTGCACAGCCACTACTGATTGTATGCAAACTATCGAAGTGGTCATCCATAACCGAGGATGCACAAATGGTCAGTTTACTACACGTATTTTACACCACTGTTCCAGAACCAAGGTCAAATTGCTAAAAGGAAAGTAACTAGAGGAAATGAGCCAGTGGAACCTCATATGACGAATTATAGGTTGTAGCTAATCCGGCTAGCCTGACGCATGCCACCTATGCCACAAAACAAAGTGAGCCGATATCTATCCACGTTTTACTGAAGTCCGCTGGTGAAGAAGTAGTTTAGCTGTCGACAACCTGTCTTCGAAATACGTCCTGACCGGTCAGCATCTTCCAGGATATTCCATGGAGCGGTGCGGCAGGGATGGGAGAGAGCCACACAGAAATCCTCCACTGCGAACAACTTTTTTTGAATGAACTACCGACTCAGACCGACTGCATTTCCCAGGTGGTTAGATTAGAAACGCGAGCAACCAGCATTCATCTAATGATGTTTATGACATACGGGACACACTGCTTAGTCTGTTGGCCCAATCGGTTTCGTAGGACACACCTCGGACATAAAAGAAGAGGGTACAGGTACTCACCTGTAAAGCCTTGATACCCCTTTGTTTTTTCATAGCATCCTGTGCCATGCCATAATTGCGATTCTCTGCAGAGGGATATCTTTTGTCAATCCTTTCAAACTTGCCGAACAAACGACGATAAAGAGGATTTCGTCGCGCAAAAATGTCATCCATAGGTAATGCACGTCGGACGGTGGCACGGTTCTCGGCGCGATACAGAGCGACCATAAGATTCTCTGCAACTTCACGCACCTAGATTGGAGAGAAAGGCACAAACATAATGAGAAGACAACTTTAGAATGACACACCAATTTAGATGAGGACTGCATGAGCGTGCAATGCTGTAAGTACAGGATAGATCGCCACAAGGGAGTGGCGGAACTAGCTCTCGGGGGACAAGAAGGAGTTAGCAGGTGGATATGAGACAATATGACGCAATCAAAGGAAGAGAAATGGCTCGTTGGAGGGTCATTTCGAAGCATTCGTTTTCGTGAATGGACTACGGAACGCAATGTGATTGTGCACAGTGATTTACTTCGAAGTGGAAAAGAAATGTAAGGTCTGCGCGCCTGGTTTGCAACCATAAGGTCACTGGTTGGAATCGGCGTAGGGGCGGGCGTTCTCGCGGTATACTCAGTCCGGGCGCGACTGGTGGTTGCGCGGCAATGAAGCGCCGTTGCGGCGTACAACTGACTTAAAATTTCAGAACAGGTACCCATGCAACAGCTAGGGCGAGATAGCACATCATATACTATTCAGAAACCTCTTGCTACCAAGGTATATTCGTTCAATGTGTCAATAGTACTTGAACTGGAAAACCGCATCGTCATAGACACGCTTGACCCAATATATGGTTACGACGCCTAAATGCAAACATAATGTTATTCTTCAATGTTCTGCACAAAATTACACACTTTTAGCGGGCAAGTGTCCCATGCGAAGCCAACTGTGTCCAAAACACTTAATATAGAAAATTGTGCAGCGGAAAAAGTTAGACAAAAATATTAGCAAATATTTAGCTGAATCGATACTCAAGACTATGGAACAATGAGCCGGCTGACATTCCTGCAGAGATATCAAAGTAGAATTCCGTAAAATGCTTGCCAAATACCCGACAGTCGGTAGTGTAATACCAATTCTGAACTATTCCATGACAAATTTTGGATGTTTGTGAGTAGTGTAAAGTTTTGTAGAAAGTAGAAGTCATGATTAAAATTCACGTACATTAATGTGCCTCGACGGGGAATCGAACCGCGGTCCACGAATTTCCGGTCCGCCGCTCTACCACTGAGTTACCGAGGGCTGACGATTAGGTGCGCAAATTTTAACACATGACTTCTGCTTGGTGCGCGACGTATTGCCAATGAGCTCACAGTACCTGTCCTGGTGTTGCAGATTGGCTCACTCACTTGTCACTTTCCAATGGACCGAAGTATCTGTCCTTCTGGTGTCCAAAGGGCGATGGGAGATTGCTTATGGATTTTTCCATGACTATTCAACAAGCATTTGAGCAAGGTCCATGCGGCACATTACCAAAAGTTGGAGCACATCGTGTCAGAGGTATCGAAAAAGCAGCTGTTGTTCGTCAATCTACCCATCGCTTCAATTTCACTCCACACAGTTTTATCTGGCCCGAAGACTCAACGCTGACTAGTGTCCCTACTGGCAAATTGGTTGCTTGCACACTCTGGCGTTGAGTTCTGCTCTTCAGGCCATCTCAGCCCTCAGTATTTCACCATGGTTTTATTTGGCCCTATAACTACCATAAAGTAGTTGAATCACCAGCAAACTGACTAACTTGACTCCCAAATGCACCGTAGAGTAGGTGGATGACAAAGCCCCTTGTGCACTGGTCAAGATGCTATGAAAGCGTCAGTGTAGAAGCTGATGTGTAGCGTTGCGCGCCTCGTACTTTCAGTGCACAGGGTGTCGCTACAGGATGGGGTTGGCACCCCACCAGTTTTCAATGTTATGGAAGAACCACTCGATACAGCCGATTGGTTAACTTACTTGGGCAGCTGCGTAACCTCTAGTGGTCCCATCACCAGGGCTGCTGCATGCGTTGCAAAGATGCATATAGCATTTGAAAGCCACAGTCAATTATAAAGACGATGAAGTGTAAGCGATTAGCTTAAGGGAATAACATGTAACGGGTTAAAAATAGTCGATTTGTGCTGAAGAAATAGGCAAACGGGTCGTATCCGGCCGTTGATGTCTATGAGATCCGGTGGGAGGAACGAATAAGTAACGCTGTTCGTTATCTAGTGTCTGGCAACAGGACCACTGGAGTCTCGTTCCAGTGTTTGTCGAACTCGGACCCCTTTCGTTGACATAATCAGGTGCTCCGCCTACCAGTCAGCCAGGTATCCCGGCGCGTGTTGCTCACCAGTACTCGGCCTTGTCTGGAGGAAACTCCGGGGCAAATTAACATGAAGAAACTCACCAAACGGTTAAGCAGGGCTAGTGTTTGTTGTTCACTGGAAGGATACCTCGAGCTGGGCTACATTAGTGATTTCATACGCTATCACATATGGCTAAATCACAAAGTGGATGGCTCTCTTGTGTATGATCCCTCAGTACCGATTCTTAAGTACTCCAGTTGTCGGATTCATCTCTTGGTTATTCTTCTTACATTGTTATTAACGTTATCATTACTTTGGCAGCGCGAGACAAAGCGAATCGATCTGTGGAACATCCACGCACAAGTCTCGGTGGATAGACTGAATTGCGTCGCACGCGAGATGAACCAATAGTCGAGGGCAATAAGTGTGGCGCCTTAAAGCGTGAGGGGTTACGGATGGGTCCTCTGGTTTCGGGAGAAGCACCGCGTGATCCAGATAACGCTGTGTAAAGACCAATATAAACGGCTGTAGTCATCAACAATAATGATAGATGAGCACACATTTGAGGGTGGATAGATAACACTAATGGCCATCTGCTCCCACATGCGAATCCGTCACTTGGACAATAAAATGACCTGAGACACTGTGTACGGTTGCGGAGTACGGTAGGGAGTTCCGTGACATACAAAACGTAACCCACGTTCCGTGGTTGAGTCGTTTCATCTAGACCTTTGTTAACCGCCCCCAATGATATACGTCAATAGCCTCGTAGCGTTGCGACCAGGGCCTAGGTATCAATAGGAAAAAGCGGGTTCCCCAGAAGTAATAGGGAGGTCCTTCGACCACGTTACTTGTGTATTAACGATACAAGCACCTTCTCTTCTCTGTCAATGGTCTTTGTTAACGCTATCCCCAACAGAGGAGCTGACGTCTGGTCCCCCGCTGAACGAAGCAACGTTGCACTACAAATAGGTCCTTTACTCCCCCTTCGTTGGCTCACAATCATCGTTAACCACCTGTTTCCGAGTCTATAACAGTACACCACGCTAACGAACAGCTGAGTTCTGAATACACAACGTCAAACTGGATTGCAAGCTTTCCCTGGCACATTGTTCCATAGTTAATTTGATTACTCTCAATGGTCGGACGTTGAGGCGGATCGGACAATGTAATGCTCTAGCGTAGACTTTGGAGAAACATACGTTGATATTTGTTCCCTCGCGGAGTCCCGTTTACTAGACTCCAGTACGACTGGTCACATCGTCTGCGAGTTTCGCTGATATGTTCCCACGGCGCACAACCGGAGATGCAACAGCCAAAAACGTTCGCCACGTCCCCATGGGGATTGTTTGAGTGCGCGAGCAGAGGAAGGGCTGCTGTTCGATTGGAATCTCGGTCCACAGCCAACTCTAAGCAGTTTGAACGAAAGGGACACTAGGATCATCTAACTACAGAATGAGTGTGGAGAGAAAGTGCAGTGCGCTAACAAAGGTACAGTGGTGGAACTTGACTGAGTCGAAAACAACAGAAGACCAAAGGGTACTGGAAATCACTGGAGCGATCGAGGAGCGAAATGATTCCACTGTGGGCACTGCATACCACAAATCCCTAAGCGAGTACCAAGTTACACCATTCTAGTCTACTTAACGCCTCTTGAGATCAAGTGCATGATTAGTTGATGGGGCACCTCTTGACGAAAGTAAAACAGAGAACTTTCCCATACATATTACCTGTAGAGACCAATGGCAGAGTCGCAAAGTCAAACTACTACCTTCACGAGGAGGGTGCTTGTCCCATAACTGACTACTGGTCAATATCAAAGTTGACAGGAATTACTCCAGGAGGAATGATATTCTTACTCGTCACTGCCACCAAGGAACCAGGGAGAGTCAAACAAACATGAAAATGTATCAGAAGTGGGGAAGAATAACAAAGAACACACAGGAGACACTCACTTCACTCGAACGATGCATCAGCGCCTTTGCAGTGAAAGTGGTCACAGCATCCAAAGTAAAGCCGGTCGTGATGGAATGTGTGTGATCAGGACAGGGAGGGTCAACTCCGAGAGTTGCGTATAGCTCAGTCACAATCTCCAGTTGGCTCAGGGCTAGTCGATCCAGCGTGACTGGAGCAAGTGGGCGCACGATCTCACTCCAGAAGGCAGATTTTTGCCGTACCTGTGGTGTGTGTAGAGTTTCAGAGAAGTAAGAAACGCACCAAGAGAATGAAAAGAGGAAAAAACTGAAAGGAGTTTGCCGCCCTGAAGATATGCATGTGGAAAGTGATGGGATTCGGAGGTATAAATTTAGTTCCCTAAACATTACGTCGTTGGACGAAAACGCAGTGATGCCGGATGATGTGGTGCAAGCCGTTTAGCGGCAATCTACGATGTTTATGTCGTGAGTCGTGTGAATAGCCACGAGTTGAAAGATAGTACAATATCCAATACAGCGTTAAGATGCATGGTAGACTAAAAATATAAGCCGGATGGGCGGAAGAACTAACGGAAACGCTGGTTGGTAACAGGAATCCATTGTACGAATAGATAGCATGAGTGTAGTGCATTGTTCAGCGCGATTGAACCAGCTCCCTCTGAAAAACGGTGACAAGATTTGAGATCGGGGTCAGTAACGGTAGAACAGAGGAATCACGGGCACACTGATGTGGGTACATTTCCAGTGGATATAGCTGAAACATTATCTTCTACATGTGGTAGAGAGCCTGAAAAGAGTTCTTAGCTAAAGTAACAAATTCGAAACTGTAGTGGGCACAATTGCTTCGACAAGCGTTGCCAGTAAAATAGAAAAAAGTGCGAGTCATAGGATAGAGAGACCCACGGTTGGGAGTGATGGATCACTACTGACAGCGCCCCTTGCTCTCTGTATGGGAGAATAGTGCATAACGCTTCTGACTAATAGAGTGAGCAGTACCGAAGAGACCGTTTAGGAGTAGCTAATTTTTTGAGTATGCTGCATGTTATTTTTGTCATGTCATCGGTTAGTTACACTGCAGGCAAATCATCAGCAAGCTACATATCGAGACGATTGATAGCTTAGGGTAGCATCAAGGAGAATGTCACTAAACTAGTGAACTTCCGCATCAATCACCTGGTGGCTCCAGTATAGGTGGACAATGATGCACTGGGGGTCAAAGGAGCATCTGTATCGCATGCACAACGCAAGGTGACTGTGCGGCTGGTCAACACAATGACGCTGGCTTAAAAGGAAAAACGCTTGCTGAAACGAGACCTAAGATTTACGGGAACTCTAAAAGGAGATGGGCCAATGATGCCATAATGCAGATAAGATCTCAATTGTTGAATGGCGAATTCAAGCTATCCACAGAGCGAAACGCAATGGATTGGAATAGACGAAAAGACTAGTAAGTGAAGTCAGGTAAAAACAACCTCTAGGTATCCGGATGAGTAGGTTTTCATCATGGTAGAATAGAGACTGCGGGTATCAAGATAGTAAGTTTAAAAATACAAAACGGTATAGTTGAGTAAAAATGCGCTCGAGTAAACGGTCGCGCATTACGGGTAATTTTTTGGGGTCAACAAGTAAATGTGGCAGGTACGGCGGCACGGGATTTCGGTACGATACAGTGTGAGGAAATGGCATTCTAAAGCTAAACCGGGTGAAAGAATCGGACATAGCTTCTGATAAATCACTGCGCAGTGGATGGAAAAGGGTCTTTTTATTGATCATACAAGTAGCATGGGTTTTTTGAAGTACGCAACCGAAATGAGCGGAAAAAGGTATATTGAATGTGTCAGAACGCAAGTGGTCACGAACTTGAAAATGAAATCGCGTAGTATGAGAGCATATAAAGATGACCTTCTTGCATCACAAAACATATCGTTGACACCGTGGGTCATATTGATATTGGGATACAATGAGAGCAATAGAGTTTATGCTGGATGAAATGAGCATAATCCGTTTGTATACATACTTAGGATGGAGGGTAGCTAAAACTGACCGCAATATGACATCTAAAAGCGTCGGCTGTAACGCATCGAGATGATGATGAGGCCCAACCTCGTATAAGTCTTGTCGAAGCGCCGAAGACAGTTAAACACTGAGAGTAATACCACCAAGCGCAATGTTATTAATGTGGTTGCAACGAAAAACGATGATGGTAGAGGAAACACTTCAATATACGAAGAAAAGAGAACTCTGCGAAACACACTCTTCAGCCATTGTCAAGGGAGTGCATAATTACTTACGCTATCGGGCGCGCCCCCCAAGTGGAAGATTGGGGAATGCCTTGCTTGTGGAGTTAACTGTGGGTAAGTCTCGTTCATTTTGCAGGCGAATAAGTAGTCGCGAACAACCAGCGACCTCGTTTCAGAGCGTGGGGACTTCTAGGCTGGTCACCTGGTTCTCCATCAAATACCACAACAGCACGTACAGCGCTGTATCAAAGCTAAAGTGACCGGCTATGAGGTCACTGACCACTCACATCTGTAACCGGAGGTGAGCACCTAACGGAGGACGGATGAACAACTTTGATAGAAACCGGTTTATGTGTGGACTGTTACCGAACCAAAAGAAAGCGAATGAGCCACCAGGCTGTCAGCGGTATTAGTATTCAGCAGCTGATTACACGTTCCAGCAAATGCATTAATCGCTCCGCTGCTTTCTGCATCAGGTAGTTAAGACCAGAAGCTCGGAGTCGGGTTCCTTAAGTCAATGCTCCTCCTCGGCCTGGGCAATCGGGGAGCTTACTGCCCACACAACGCATAAACCCAAGCAACCCTTCTAGTGACTGCCTCTTTTTCCCATTTCTGTTTTTGTTACCAATGTGCTGCGGCGCACTGCCAATAGTTGGCCGATCAAGTTTCTTGGAGTCCAAAAGAAAACGGGTTAAATATGGTAAGATAGAGTTTTGATGATGTGTTGTTCGAGAAAACAAAACCCTAACTTTCGAACGGGTAGACGAGCAGCAGTGGGCTTTAGATGAATCAGTGTGAAGGGTGTCAAAAGGGCCACTTAAAATCTTTGCTGAAAAATTGTCACATGCTCAAAAATGCCTAATAACGATTAATACAACCAGGGACTCTCTAGACAATCCACTGCACCCTAGAAATGAACTTAATGGACGCACAATCAATGTGAAGTCTTTTTGTGGAATACCAGGAAACAAGATTGTAACGCTACAAGGCGTTTGGAAATTTAAGCTACGCGTTCCCCACCGGAAAATTCAACAATAGACCAGATCCGGACCTGAGAAAACGGTGCTATTTGTACAAATTCATCGTACCAAAGTAGAAATTACCTTAACGGTTTTCCAAACACAAAAGTTTACCAACAGATTTCAATCAGATCCACAAAAGGTCCGTAAGCCAAGGTGCACACGAAACAAATGAACACAGAGGTGAGACCGAAGTTATGATAAGGCAATTGAGCCAATCGTAAGCGTCCGCCAACGGGAACGGGCTAGAACAGACAGACCTGCCACACTGGATACATGAGTTGTGGGAACACAAAATCGCTTATGTCAAGAGAACAATGACAGGTCCATGGAGGCGGGGTGAAGTTAAGATGAGTCACCGGGGTCACTCGCTAAGAGCATCGGGGCAGAGAACAAAGGAATGGAAAGTAAGGGAGTTAGCAAACATAATCGATCCAGACGGCCGAGCAATGTAAAATTGGGCATTCAACATGGGAGAGACTGAGGTGGTCAAAGTTCTTTCTAAAAAGATAGATGAGCGATATAAACAATACGGAAGAATACAGGCAGTCACGAATCTACGAACTAAAGAGCAGGGTACTGAAAGTATTTTCAGTTTCAGGGTACTTCCTAGTTCTTATTGTTGGTGCATCCCTGTCAATTCTTCTGACTTTATCTAAACCTAATTCAATAAACATGAATGTACTGCAGCAGTGTCAATTAGTCGCGTCTTTTCTTCTCAATTAAACTACAAACCAGCATCCATCGTTTGACACTTCAGTTTGAATAGCATTTATGGTTCACAGCATAGGGTTTTGGATTTGCCTGTTACCGTGGCCTCCATAGGACAGCCACAGGACGTCTGCGCCTGCAGAGAGATTATGGGTGGCTTGCGCTGCACCACCCACAGCTCCAACCACACACCCTATATCCAGTGTAAACGCGAAGGAATAAGACCGGGAGACATGTGGATGGGAGCCACATGTCATCAACGGAGCCGGCCCACACTCCTTCACAGGCAAACACAAGCACGTTGTATTCGAGGAATCAACTGCACACAAGGCGGCGGTTGTGCCGAAAGTTGGTTAGCAACGAGTCCGCGATAAGTAGAAAAATGTCCACAAGTTACTTAAAAATACTACAAACGCAACAAAATTACCGAAGTTAAGCGCAATAAGCGTTAGCAACGTGGCCAGTTAATAGAACATTATTAAGATAGGCAGAACAAACCAAATAAACTGGAATGAAAATTATCCAGCTTAAAAATGTAATTCGGTTTAGCCCAACTGCGGTGAAGAAGCATCATAAATGCAACATCAGCCTCAGTTTGGAGCACTATATATATATATATATATATACATATATATATATATATATATATGGTTGAACAAATTCGGTGTATTGATCAACAATCATACCTGGAGTCCAATGACTCTACAACGCTTCCTCGATTTGGAATGCAGTTTGGAAATTCGGTGTTCAAGATCCAAGAATTTTCGTTGCAAGCATTCACACGTTGGCTCGTCTGTGTGATTTGCCTCGGCTCTACTAGGACTGAGGTATGCACATATTGCACTTGAGTTGTATTTTGTTTAATTGTACTTTAGTTAACGTCTTTGTTGGGCCAGGGCGTTTTTACGTGTTACTCGAGACTCACAATGAGTCTGCAGTCTACATAAATATCTCGCCACAGTTGAATATGCAGCCACATCTGCCAACGGTTGGGTAATTAAATGTTATGCTGCCTACTTCTTGTAAATTGGCTAAAACCGTTTGAGCACTTCCTCGATTGCCGAATGTTGGACAGGACGCAGTGGGATTTGCTAGATATATTCTTTCTGTGATCACGTCATTGCGGTTATCAGATACTCTGCGATATTACCGCCTTCTAACGCACATAGCAGACGGCATCTGCAGCACACACACTAACGATTAGACATCACTGTTTGGATGGTACCTCTTATTTGTGCATCACTTTCCATCTGGTAACCGTATTGATGGCATA